CGTGCCCGTAACTTACTCTTGACATCCAGCCTAAAAAAAAAGAACACCAGGAAAAAAGTACACAGGCTTCTGTTGATATGTTTTTGAATAGTTATTCGCATAAAGGGAAATGTATTTTGCTTTCCTCTCCTATCACAGCTTGCGAGAGTAACCAAACGATTCCTGTGGCCAATCTGTTTGGATCCAAGGCCCTTAATCCACAAACTAAATGGCCTAGGTAAACCATACAAGAGAATGTCTCATGTACAAAGCATAGTCGGCCATGTAAGGGCGGCCATGCGCCAACGCACATGAATGGAATGTGTTGGAGCTGGCATGCTTTGGCTAGCCTTTTTTTTAAATAAAAAAAAAAGCTGATCCATTCATGAATAACCCATCATAATGTCTAAACTCATGATTATGTCACTCACAAATACTCACTTGGCTTTTTCGAGTTCACCCAGTCGCGTCTTGATTTTGTCGTGGTTCAGGCTGATAGCCTTGTAATACCCCACTTTGCCTAGGCGGCGGGGTTTTTTCAGGCCCGCCATTCGGGTTCTAAGCTCAAGGTCGTCGTCCTCGCAACACCAGCCCTGGTAGACATTACCTAACCCGTTGATCTGCCTGAACTGCGCTGTCGTAAAGCCGTTCACACCGCCGAAGGATGTCGAGTAAGGAACCCTATGGTGTAATGCCAACAGAGAATGGTTAACAGCATTATGGAAAGTTACTGACGGAAAATGTTTACATACACAATGAATGCTCATTAAAATGAGTTGTGACAAAATGACGATGTAAATTGGGGTGGAATTGGCCCGACTGTTTTTCGGTTTAACTATAAAAAAGGATGCAATATTGTCGTATAATTACAGGGCACGCAAGCAAGGTAAGGTAATGCATACGTAATTTTCCTTTGAATTCCCTACTCTGACCTTGTCGGTGCCCTCCAATGAGACATTTCACAGACTCTGCTTTCCATGTGGTGGTTTACCTGTAATTCCGGTTGTCAGCTCCACTGATGAAATGACGAGGGAGGTCCACACATCCGTAGTAGTTGAACTCACTTTGTGGGAGGTGGTCAACATCGTGGAAGATGAAACAGTCCCACTGGGTGAATTTCAGGGCTTCCAGGTAGCCCACGTTGAGCAGCATTCCACGGTTGAAGGCATTATTGTTCGCCTGAATCAGATAAAATCAGATTTGCAAGTAAACAGTCAACTCATAATGCATACAGAAACTTCTCTAGCGTCTAGATTAATCGGGATGCAACGGTTACGCTATCACTGAGCATTCCAAATGGCTCTTTTCACTGGAGTGGGCACTTTTTCATCCATTATCGTACAGGTACTACGGCTAAATCTCAACAGGTTTTAAAGACCACAAATTCGCTAACTGTGAGCTTTTCTCTCTTATCTGTGTGAAATGGAAAAGTTGTTGGCTGTCACAGAAGTCACTGTCCTTAGTGTCCTCCACACTCCACTCCACAGAGCAATATATTTAAGCAGATCCTTTCAAATACAAGGAGCGGTTGGAAAAGTTCTCTATGGAAATCCCCATGAAGGGGATCGCGAGCCATCGCCTAGCTTCGCTCTCTTGCTTGGCAGTTTGGAAAGACCATCAAGCTATCTAGAGTTTTTATGTAGATATCAGTCACTTTTCTTGACCTCTTTTCAGCTCTAATCAATACAAGCAGCACCCTCGGGCCTTACCTGGTTCACGATGTAGATAGCGAATTCCAGGCGTTGTTTTTGCAGAAACGGAATCATGTACCGCAAGAACAGTGATAGCTGAATGGTGCGGTTTCTGTAAGGCACAACAATGGCGACCTGTGAAATGCAACAGGAAAAGACAACAGGAAAAAACAGAATTACTTACCAACACAACTAGTTTGCAGTTTCGACCTTGACATTACATTAGTAATATAGAGACCATAAAACACCGTGGATACATGGACAAATCTGTTCTTCAATGAACTACACATGTGTACGATTGTCAACCTAAATTGTAGTGAATGTATGTTTTTTTTCCTTGCGGCCTCTTAAGTGGATGGACCATTTACGACTACCAAGGAAAACCGTACGCTGCCCTTCCTCTGACCGACTTCTCATTAACTACTCTGACCTCTCATACTAGGCTTGAAACCCATGATAAAAATAATTGAAGGACTGAGGCCTGCTACGGAGTAAATCAGACTTTATTCCTAACTCTGTAATGTGATGCTGATTGATAAACTATATGAATAAATGTATAGTTATTGCCGCAAACAGCCTGAGATGCTGAAAGCGCCATTGAAAACAAAACTGTGATTCTACTCCAGCAGAAAGCTTTAGCTTTGTTCGTTCACCAAAATTCACCTCAAGTTTTGGAATGTTACTGTTCTAATCTATCCCCGTACCTTGTTATTTGCTCTTGGTTATGTTGTTTCCTATATTTCCTTTTCTTTGATGATTCACTGTTGGGCAATAAGCATTCAAGCAAGCAAGCAGCCCTCTCCTAAGAGATGTTCTCAAGGAGTAAAATTTGGGTTCACAGTGTGAACAGAAAAACCTATAAACTGCCCAGTGTCTTCCCTGATTGACATGACCAAAGCAGACCTCCCTGTTGTTGGGGAAGGAATGAGCAATTCTAAATGCTAAACAAGCACACTTTTCAGTGCATTTAATCCCAAAAAGATGTCAAACTATTTTCACCATTGAAGAGTATAAGGTTGCACAAAAAAATTTTCCAAGAAGAAGTTCATCAATGGACCCAACGAGGAAAGAGATCTTAACAGGTAAAATAGGGATAAACTCTTTCAGGGGGCCACTTTTCCAAATCCCACTTAAATGTAGGTTTCTGCATTTTCTTAGCAATGGAGTCAAAAGGGGACAATCAAATTGGCCATAACTTAACCTCTTAATGCCCATAATGGTGCCCTTTAAAAAAAACACATGAGTAAATACCAAACAGTTAATTTGCCATTTTCTCTTGAAATGAAACTTCATTCACATTTCCACATTCCTGTTTGCCATTAACGAGCATCAGGTGCCAGCATTTGTGCCAAGTTCCTGCACATCTTTCTTATGAATGTCACTCACTAAAATGCGCTCAATAAAGCAAAGCAAGAATATGAGAGAACTGACAAGGGGACAAAAAGCATTTTATTTTATGTTGTTTTGTGATGACATTCCGCCTGGGCTCGCGAATATGGAAATAATACAAAAGAGCAAAACAGGCTTTAAAGTACTCTAAAAAAGCTGAGATAGACACAAAAAGGTCCGTCTCAACTTAATCAAATACAATTTGTACTACACGAGTCCTTGAGGGGTCTTCATGTACCTTCCATCTTGGTATGCAGTCAGCTGGCCTCCAGTGTCCTCCTGGTAGATAACGGTAGTCCCCATTCTGGACAGCTCTGGGAGACAAACCGTCGATGAGGTGGACAGAGCCTGCCGATGACGACCCTTCTGGGGTGTGCACTCCAGCCCCTCTCAGGCCTGGCAAGTCGTGGTTGCTGATCGATACAATCTCCCGGATCAACTCTGGATGGCCAGGAAAGAAAAATCTCTCTAGCTCGTCCATCGGCAGGCCACTCATCAGATTCATCGGCCGATCCTCCACTTAACACATCGATCACAAACAAGATAGAAGAATACAACATTAGATTTTACAAATTGGTAAGTAGCTCATGAATCTAATGGAGACAAAATTAGTACCTCCGAATATGCCTATTTTTTCTGTTCATGATGCTGACCGTTGTTAACCACATGCTGCCGGGTGCTTTTAAAAATGCAGTGCACACATATGGGCGAGTTTCAAGATTTTCAGTTTTCAAAATTCTTCAAAAATTCATCATTTCATTTAATGGACGTTACACCCACAGGAATGACTGTGAATTTGGTGGCTACTCTAAGCTGGCAAGTACCATCATTGACTCCTGAATATTTCAGCCAGGCCTGCTGCCCTGTAAAGACAGCCAAAAATTGTAAGGTGTTCCATAATTTCCTTTGTACCCAGTGAATGCGAGTGGCATCTTGCCAAATGCGGCTGAATCAGCATGCAGCGGCACTGTCCTGGAGCACTTTTGTCCATGGTGCTAATCTGTGGGCGCTATGCCCAAAACAGCGGTATACTTTTTAAAAACAGTGACGGTTACCTTTGAAAAATGCAAGCCAAAAAATGATGGCAATTCCCAGCAACGGGTATTTTGTTCCAATCGAGTACGGTCTTTTGTTACACGGACCAGCTCTTTTGTCCCATTTCGGGCACCCCGGCTCTGTGTATAATCCCATGGTGCTTGAAACGAGGTTCCCCGGCAGCAAGTGTAGAAACAGATCTCGCGATAACTGCAAAGGCAAGGCTGAGGTTTTTTCACCCATTCCATACATGCCATATAGATTTGAATTTAATTGGAGGAACTGCAGGGGTCGAAATTAACTTTTTTCCTGGTAGCCAGCAGGACCAGTGCTTCCAAATTTTCACTGGTCCTGCTGAAAGTTCTGTGAATTAACTTGCAGAAAACCTCTTGCAACATCGATGTCTTTTCGACCGGCAGTCTTAGGGTTGCATTCATGACGTGTACGGCCGACGTAAAGTGGACATGTACGGTGCATTCAGCACATGTACAGTACAGACTGGTTTTGGTTCCTCCATTTCCAATACGCATTCTTTTGCATGGGCGCAGCGCAGCGAGAACCAGAGCAGCTGCGTTTAATGCACTGAGCTTTGCGCACTTGTTTCACAACTGCGATAGGGAAACGTGAATGGAAACTCGTGAAAATAACGGGTTTTTTCTTAAAATAAGCATTTTAACGTGAGACAAGGTTATTGAAAGATGTTTGTGAAGATAGAAAAGACATCAGATTTCAACTGGCCCACCAGACACCAGTTTTATTAGATCAGCTGGTCCGCCAACTTTTTTAATGACCTCGGGCCAGCGGACCACCGTTAATTGCAACCCCTGAACTGATTTCAGAAAGATTTTTCAAAATAAGAAATGCACGCTTCAGAAACTTTAAGAAGTAGGCCTAAGATGCTTTTGGCCAGTGAAAACAGAATCTTAGAAATTTCACTTCTAAAACTGACAATCATTTTGTTCCATTAGAGAATCCTAGAAAAGATGACAACAGTGAGGGAACTACACTTCTATGAACACCATACTGAAATTTTTGCCAGTGCACTAGTAATAATAATAATTGACATATGCAGGGGAATATGTGATATTGTTATCCAATACTGTGATATAGCCTGTTTGCAAATTATGTAGTTTTTAATACAATCGCAAGTATTACACAATGCTGGAAAAGGTTTTGTTCAGCTCAGCTTACCTAGACCAGGTATGTTCTCCAGCTTCGGACATTCAGATAACGGCTTTTTGATGGTGTGCTCAAGTGCAGCTTCATGCACGTGTAGTGACATTTCTTTATGGACATATAGCACATAATTCAAGACAGTAAAACAAAATGCATACACACAAGTGATAAATCTTAGACTGCCTGTAACCTGTTCAAAGGTTGACAACGAGACACAACAAAAATGAACCCAAAAGAATTACCAAATTGCGAGAAAATACTTTTGGAAATGTAAGCAATTTGAACTATTAAAACGCACAGCTGTCGTATTGGTTCCCCGTGCAAAACTCCCACACCTGATGCAAGTGTTGAATTTGTTAAGAGGTTGCCAAGGCGACCCCATTGATAACGGTAATTTATTATTGCTTTTTTGGCATTGCCAGCTGTTCATCCAGCAATAAACCAGCCACTGGACCCACAGCATTTCACAGCCAACCTTGCCTAGACCTGTTGAGGAATGAAGGTATTAGCATTGTCGATACTTACTCGATCCGATGACGGGCCGGCGGTCATTTCTATTGCTGACAGGGATGGCAGGTCCAATCGATAACTCTGCTTAAACAAACATAAAATAAACCAGAAGCCAAAATATCACCATAACGATGTTCAAAGCAATTATCTTGCTTCCTATTTCTTAAAATCTGAATATGCTTTGCTTTCCCAAAACTAAATCTCCATTTCCTTAATTTGTAAGTTTGCCATTTACTCGATCCGACGACGGGTCGCAGGTCACTTTCACTGCTGACGGGGTTGGCAGGTCCAAAAATCGATGACTCTACCAAAACAAAAAGCCAGAGCAAACTGTCATCATAATGACGTTTACTGCAATTCCTTCGCTCCTCATTTCTTAATATCTGAATATGCTTGCTTTCCAAAAACTATTGCATTTCCTTTATTTGTAAGTTGGCCACTCACTCGATCCGATGATGGGCCGCAGGTCACTTTTATTGCTGACAGGGTTGGCAGGTCCATTTGGTGACTCTGCTTAGACAAAAGAAAAAGGTCAGGTCAAAGCGAAAATAACATCATCATGACATTCACAGCAATTTGTTTGCTTCCTATTTCCTAATATCTCAACATGCTTTGCTTTCCCCAAACTATCTGCATTTCCTTTATTTTGTTTACTTTTTTGAAAACAAAAAAATAAACCAGGAACAAAAGTGCATAAAAAAGGTGCTTGCGCTTACAGATCTTTTTAAAATCTGAAATGCGCACTAGGAAAAAGTGCTCATGTACACTGTATACTTCATTCTTTTATAATTGAGGAAGTGATGAACATAGAAAGTGTGAGAACAAGGAGCAAATGGAGAGTACCCAAGTGTAACGTCATTTATAACCAGAAGTGCGAATGGAGTACGCATGCGTTGGTTCAAGCGTTTATTCTCTCACCGATGTCCTCACAAAGATTATTGTACGTGTGACATACATGTATTCGCTTTGGTAATAAATAATTGTACCATGCCGATCAGTCGGTAAAAATCTTGATACCACATCCCACCTAGGCAAGGGTGTAAAGAAAGAACAATGAAAGGAAGAAGTCTAGAATGCCGGTAGCCCATAACTGCCCTTGTGGATTTGGATGGCTGTGTAAGGGTGTGGTACCGGTATGTACATACATGTGTGTGCTATGAGGGGGCATCTCTCTTCCGGCATGTGATGAAAGCCCAAGGCCAAATCTGTTGATGTTTTGCATAAATTTCTGGGTAGTGCAAATCCAGGCATGTGACGTGTGAAAGGTTATTTTTTCAACTTTGATATATTTTTCTCACTCCACACCCTGATTACTTCCCCACTTGTCCTTGAGAGTACTAGTGAGAATTCCATAGGGTCCTGTCCATTGGTAACGGAAGGGTAAGGCTTGATGTGTCTAAACACACATATCCGGCAAGGTTGTTGCAGTGCTGTGAGAGTCCTCGTGTAAGGCCAAAAAAGTCTTTTGTCTCTGGTCAGTGTGCACATCAATTTCAAGCATGCGGGTTAATTTTTTTTTCCCTGTGAGAGCTGCAACAGTGCCCTTTATTGTTGCACTGCCTAAACATTTTTGCGGGTAGCTCAATCTTTTACTCAGGGCAATACGTCTTGACGAGATCGATGTTGAACAATGAAAGCAGACTGTGGATACAAAGTTGCTTTTTGGGGGGGCCTAATCAAATATAATGGGGTCCGAATGGCAGTTAACCGCTGACATGAACAATGAACAATGTTCTACATGTAAGTGTTGAACTCCACATGTTTTCACATGGCGGTGTAACAATAGTGAAGTGCTGTTTCAAGTAAGACTGCAGCACATCGCTTCTTGTGCATGTTCGTTTGTTTTTAACACATTGACTGCCGCGCATACATGTAATTTCAAGGGGGCATTCCCATTTGCCAAGCATTTCATGCATGTGCGTATATACATGTACATGTAACTTTCAGGTATTATATCTGTTGGAACATGAGCATTTTACAGATGTACGTCCTCCACACTGCCATCAGCATACATGTATTTGTTGTGTGTTCGGTGACATCACTGTATTCAATTTACATTACAATAGCCTTTCATTTCCTGTGAGTACATGTACATGTATACTCACAGTGGAAGAGTCCGGTGTAGTGTGTACATATGACTACAAGTATACTCCTCTACGGTCGGTCGACAGTCAACATGTTAAACACTGGCCCTGTTTAATGTTTAGTGGTGAGGTATTGGTACAATTTCTGTATTAAGTACTAAATTTCTATGGACAAATAATACTGCATTTCAACAGACTGAAAGCAAGAGCAATACAATGAAATATTGCACAGATAATGCACCGACATTTTGTGTACTTAACATATGTTGTGTACTGGTAGTACAAAACCATTACAATATGTGAAATAGATCCCATAATATGGTAATACAGTAAATGAGCCAAGAGGTCAGGCCTCAGGTGAGGGTTAAAGGCCAAGTTATGGTAAAGGTAAGAGTTACATGTAGCTCAAAGCTCCCTTTCACCAGTTCACAGCAAAGAAACAGGTGGAAGGTGACTGATAAAGTCACATCTCTTGGATTAACGTCTCATAAATGCCCATATCTTTTTTCACCAAATTACCTCAGACTCTCTGAAGTTTCATTAAAGGACCAGACTTTTTTATTTTCCGTTTTTATTTTTTATCCAGTCGTATCGTAAATTTGCAGATAAACAGCAACACCATCTGTCTGCTGTTATGATGCCGTTCTGATATAAGATTATGCATAAATGTAAATTCACACGTTACACAGTACATCCTGTATACAGTACATGTACAGTACATCTACATGTGCTTGTCTGCATCATGAACACTGCTCCTTAACTGGCATCCCCATGGTGTCTCTGAGGCTGTTTTTGTTATTTTAATTTAATTACAATGAATGCACAAAAGGAAAACTCAAGCCTATCCCATTGATAGAAAACTCTTGCCCTCTGAGGATGCATCAATGCATAACCTTTATAGTGTCATAGGGTGTACATGTAAGCTCCCTCCCCTGCAAATTTCCATGGCTGGGCAGTCATCCCACACATATCCCTCAGTTTCCACAACTTTACGCCACTGCAATCCTTGCTCTTCATTACTGTATTCTTAATAATACAAGATTCCTGTTCTACGTGTAGCAAGGTAATCTGCAAAGTACGAAGGAACTCTAAAAAAAAATGAGGTTTGACAGTACTGGGGTCATCAAAGTGAGAATGTTTGCGGATGACTATACAATTTACCAAGAAATTACTGGAAACCAAGATAGTGAGCTCATGAGACAGACATTGATGCTCTACGCCAATGGGGGGCACAATGGCAAATGAGTTTTAATTCAACAAAATGTCACGTGGTGCATGTTGGTGACAAGGTTAAGCCCATCGCATATATGCGTACACCATGAATGGAAATTCGCTTCTGAAACACTGAACCACCATCTGTACCTCGGAGTGCAGATTTTTTTAGCAAAGATAACAACTGGGCATGCCACTCAGAAAAAAGTCACAAGCAAAAGCAAACAAAGTCTTGCATCCTCTCCAGAGAAAAGACCACTTGCAAAGCACTGCAGTCAAGGCAACAATCTACCCTCATCAGACTGAAGCGAGAGTATTGTGTGTGCCTTAATTTAACATGGAATCCTGTTCACAACACCAAGGCATCTCTGGAGAAAACGCTGAGCTTTTTGCTTCCTCTAAAATGACTAAAGCAGGGAAAAAATCGGGAGCCACAAACATGCAGTCAGACCTCAAGACAGTTGTCACACTAGAATAAACTCAATCCCCACTTTCAAGAAAGTTCTCATTACTCAATCAAATATCAACTGCCGTTAACATTATAAACTCCATGACGGCAGAATGCTAACCAGACCTCATATCTTAGAAACTCCACCATTTAAAAAGAACTGTTATAAGTTATCCTATCACAAACAACTCGTGAGTTGAATATCCTCCCTCCAAACATTACAACTTTATCTGACATGAAATTATTATTTGATAAGAGAGATTGGATCAAATAAAAATGGATGAAGTGGTTAAAAAAAAAACCAGCTTTGCATTTCAACAACTATCTGGTGCTGTTTGGATCTCCAGCAAAAGCAAACACTCGCTGAACTACAGCCACATCCAAATCTATGAGGAAGTTTTTAAAAAAAATGACATAATTGTTTGTGTTTATGCTCAACCACTGAGCATAAATCAGGAGTGAGATGGGGGGAGGGAACCAAAATATCCACAAATCAATCATCGGCATAGTGTCTATACGGTCTGTGCACCTCTTAAAATAACCCAGTTCTCGTCTTCTACATATCAACTCTTATATGTACACGTGAGAACAGGAAACTAAAACCAAACAAAGCTTCCGGATCCATCCATTTGATAAGGTATTGGGCATCCATGCAGAACCCAACCTTTTGATCTGGTTCATTCCTCCAAGTCTGTTGGCTTGCTCTGTGGTTTAACTAGGGACATGGTCGAATGTTAAAATGTGAAAATACAGAGATATGCATGTACTGAGACTTCAAGTACAAAAACATGCAAAACAAATCCAGCGATCTAGAAATCAGCTTTCAAGGTTTCAATTTAACTGAAAAAGGACAGCTTCTTCATGCAAGATTTTGGGTTGAGCTTTTTACTACTCTCCCATTCCATTAAATATTCTCCCTGGCTATGTTAGGGAGAATAAATTCTTTCTACAAGAATGGAAATTAAACCAAACATGTTACATGTACATTCTGAATTTCATAACTGAAGCCATTTTTTCTTTACATATTACCCCACTGAAGATCAGTTAATTGTAAAACTGTTGATAAGTCAGGAAGACGGAAAAACATTTTTAATTTATGTGGTGCATCCAATGTTTTTTAAAAAGGAAGTGCAACCCTAGTATACGGACAAGATAGGTCTATTTCTTTCCTTCCCCGGAATTTTTAAGGCAACTGGGTTTGTTGGTAAGATCCTTCATGGTTAAGTTGATGACTGTGGCAGTTACCTCTAAACCCTGGGTTCATTGTCTGCACGGGAGCAGACATCTTGGTTCTACCAATTATGGAGGTGGGAGATTTCTAAGATCTTGCAATCTGTCACAGCTACACAGCGCAGCACATGTTGCACGCTTCACATCCTGATGGCGGTCGCACAATGAAAACAAGTTGTTTTCAACCACAGAAAATGGTTAACCCAAGATGTTGAGGAAGCTTTTCCATTTGATGGGCCCACTGCGTGTGCAATCTGGCTTGAACAGAAAGCAAGAGATAAGCCCTTTTCAAGTTTCGTGTGCGCAAGCTCAGAAGACTGAACAGACGGGAACAAAGTCATAACAACAATGAGGTGTAAAACTTGGAGACTGGATGTTCACGATTGTTATTGTTGTAGAAAGTTTGTTCCCCTCTAGCTTCGTTCGCTTACTCGCGCGCGGGCGCTAAAATCAACACGGCAACGGAATGGGAAACTGGCTTATTGCTGTGCCAAAATCTCATTTTTTCCCCAAAAATACTCGGTCTCATGCTTTGAAATCTACCCCTTTTAAAAGCTACAGGTTACTCAAGTTTGCTGTCAAGGGAAAACTTATTTGATTGAATAGCTTTGTTCCACTGTGGATCATTCACCTCTAAAGTTTGATTTAAAAACTTCATCAGCTCAAAGTCACACAGAATATGAGCAGTAGAGGTGCAGATCACAACTCAGAAACTGTCCCTGAATGTGGAGAAGTCCCTTTATTTGTAGACAAAATCAGTTCCCCAAAACAGAGAATTCCCATTAAGTTTAGATCTTACCATTGCCCTGAGGATTCTTTTATTGCCATAATTCGATTCAACAGTAGAAAACACCCAAGGCTGCCTAAAAAAACTCAGTTCCGTTTACTTAGGATTATGAGCAAGAGTATGCAATTTAGCATAAAGTGTGGGAAATGATTGTATCAGAACAATTTTTCCAAATATCAATCCTTTGCATAGGCCTACAGTTAATAAAGTGGCATGACGCAAACTTCATAAAAACAATATCTTAAATGAATGGAAAATGTGGAAGATAAAAATGATAATAGTGCGTGGATATTTTTGACCAAAGACCATTTGGGAAAAAAGTCTCCTTTTATGGGAGCATTCTCTCTTTTGGGGGACTGGTGTTGTCCCAAAATAAAGGGAATTCTCCACATCCAGAGACAGTCCCGGAGTTGTGATCTGCACCTCTAGTACTAGTACCGATGAGGGAGTAGGCTGACTGGCTTTGAGTTCTTAAAGCAGAATTAAGAAAGGACTTCCATACACAGATGCCACTTGACACCTCGTGCTCAAACCATCATAAGACTTGTCTTAAAATGTTTTCTTCATTCTTGGTAAATGATTCTCCCACCTAAATTGAACTTTTCTTGACATGTTTCTGCTTTCTCATGGATAGTAATTCTACATGTACATGCGGCTTACTAGTACTGGGAATATTTACTGGCTTTCGTATAATAACCCCCCAGAAATGTCGGGTCTGACATCGCGGGAGCGGAAAGGACATTGGACCCCACAGTTCTGGGGGTACATACATGTATAATAATATGGAACTCTTCCCTGGCCTAAGTACCATAGTACTACTACTAGTAGTGCCATGTGTACAATATGGAGGAAGAATTACTAGAAACTACAGTACCTCCATCATGTCCATGGTCATAGTGTATGGTACATGTAGGTAAGCCTACCGTTAGGCAGAACAAGAACAACTTGAGGTAAGCTTAGGCCCAGAATCATGATCTTAGTTCTTACCAGTGACCTGGATGATTAGAGAGTGGTCATCGTGCTTTCTGTTGATGACACTGACTGGCGCAGGCCGCGAGCCATTGCCGAAAAACAGCAGTCCACTCAATAGGATCAGCACCACAAGCACAACGGAGGCAAGTAACCACCTAATGCTCCGCAACACCCTCCGAGGCGGAAACATCACCAACTGTGGTGAATTGGACAGTGAAAGCTAAGTTTTGGGCATGTAACGTCTCATGCCAGTGGACTCCCTGTTACGTTACGCTGAGTCGTTACTGTAATGAAGACTGGTGTCCAAACATCACCTTGAAGTTGAACACGACACTGCACATGTACAACCACAGTCAGCAGTGCAGTGTGAACGGAACGCGCGGTCAGGATGGTAATACATGTACATGTACATGTATCGTCATGTCATGGACATGACGGAGGCTTGGTAAGCACAACTGTCGTAAGCATGCAAAGAAGTGAGTGTGCAGTCAGGCATGATCCAAACCACCCTTTTCAGCTAGCTCGTTCCGCAGTTCCCACAGACATATAAACGCACAGACCGCGCGCAAACTACAGGTCAAGATTTTCGTGATCTAAGCGGCGCCCGACTAAAATCAGAACTATGGGCAAATTCACCCCTTGGTATAGGGAATTTCACGCACAGTTGAAGAATTGAAGCCATTGTTCGATTGTAAAACCCCCCTCTATTTACTTAATCTGGCCCATAGGACTCAAAACATTGCGGTTGCAACAGTTGAAAAGAAGTGATACCAGTACCGAGAGCAAGAAGGTGAACGTATTTGGAAGCATTATGTAAACAAATACGGGTAATGTTACGCGCAATGCGCACTGAACGCGCTGTATCCAACGTTTCGTGCGTTCGATTAGCTTCCCTGCATTACATACTGCAAGGGAAGCCTCGAAATGAGGCGAATCGAACGCTGCAGGGTGCACCTTCGAAATGAGGCCAGAAATATGTCCGCCGAGCTCATTAATAAAAGTTATAGACTCAAAATATTCTATATTAGAGGATCCTGAGAGCCATGGAACTGAGGAATTGAAGAAATATGAGACTGGACCTCTGGGCCGGACTCGGGGCTTCCAATTCTTTGCAATTTGGATGCAATCGGGTTTGAAAGTGGCACTATTTGAGCCATTTTGCCGACGGAGGGTTTTTCAAAATGGCTACTTTTCTTGACAGGGACATTTTCTGCATTTTAGGGGTGGTCTGCTTCTGGTGAAAATTTCTCAAAAATTCATCAGTCAACCCCCCGAAAATTG